ATTTTAGCACTGCAAACATATAGTCCATATTATCTTGATTGATTGTATTTTTCCCCACATTTCTTCTCGTGTGTGTTTTCTGCTGTGAAGTCTGATATATTTGGCCCACAGTGTAACATTCTCACCTATTCTCCAGTAAAATTATGTTTGGCTCTGATTTTGGAGCCCGTTCTTGGTTCTGTGTTAAATTACGGTTGGCACATGAGACTCGGTGAGGTTCACGGGCTGCCAGGGTTTTATATGGCTGGATGTGTTCACAATAGCTCTTTTCAGGATTTTTGAAAATGTCTGGTCCGGAGATTATTCTTCCAAAATATCTTCTCTTTTGTAGATGGCTCCCTTCAATTTTTTTCACAGTTGGGCTAAAAGTGGCACACAGTCTTTTTGTTAACATCGAATGTTTTTTTTTTTTTTTCTTTTCTATCAAATCGTTGCTTTAGTTTGATCCAGTGAATAGTGTTTTACTGTGACAAATGTCTCAGATGAAGTATGTTACTGAAAACTGGGCCTTGTTGTTTGTCTTCACTGATGGATAATGTTGTCTTACATCTGTTAAGTGCCTTGACTGCAGATCCTCCTGGGACACTAGAGAAATAACTTATTCATTAGAGCTAGTGCAGCTTAAATATTGTTTTATATAATGGGCAAGGGACATAAGTTTTCAAATAATGAGGATAAATAATGGTATGTACTGATGATGTTATTCTTGTTTTTTGTTTTGTTCTGCTTTGTTTTGTTTTATACCACTTGATAAATTATAAAAAGTTACCTGACTTGTAATATTTACCACGTTGCAACTTATATTTATTAATTTCATGTGAAATATTAACTCACTCTTTGTTGGGGTTGTGCCTAGGGATGGGCATGATTAATCGATTAATCGATAATTGATCATTAAGAATTTCATCGATTACATTAATTTTAATCGACAAACCGAATGTAGGTTGCTGTGCGTAGCGTGACCAAACTGGGTACGTACATGTAGCTCTCTGCACTCAGAAGGAGCGAGACACAAACATTCGGTCAGTCTGCAGCGTACCGAAGTACAAATGCGTATTTAACGATGATTTGTACAAGAAATTCCACGCTTTCCGTTGCGTTCGGGACAAGTGTGAGTCCATGTGCACAGTGTATAAAGCAGGAACATATGTTTCGGTGTCCAGTGGGAAAAAGTTTTACCAGGTGAGAGTCGCGCAATGTCGATGACGAGGAACCACCTCCCACCTACGGTGTCCTGGTTTTGACAAACGCAAATATGGTCACACTAACCTGTATTCCACTGAGTCATGTCTTTTAATCCGATAGAAGTTGAACCGCATCAGCGCACAAGAGCTGTAGTTTTATCTTCGCTGAGTTTATGCAAATTAGCGATGCGGTTTTAAGTTTCGTTTCTGTGAGAGTTGCGCAAAACTGAATTAAACACATTATAATCTCAAACGGGCTGATGTGGCTCTAGAGTGGTTACAGTTTATATGTCGTAAAGTTGAATTTATTTATGCAGGTTAATAGTGCAGATAGTAATAATAATGATGATCATTTTAATATAAAAACGTTAATGATTAATCGATAATCGATCGTTATTTCTTCCGACGATCGATTAAGAAAATTTCATCGAATGCCCATCCCTAGTTGTGCCAAAATATCGATATATTGTGATACTGAATTTGGTGATACAATATTGTTATTATGGACTGCTGTCTTTTTTGGTGTTTTTTTTGTGTGTGACTGCGCTACAAAATGTTGCTTATTTAGTGGAAGGAAACTTGTTTATGCAATACACTTGACATATTTGTAAATTCATATTAACTTTGCACAGGTAAAATGTTGTTGCTAAAATGTATTTTGTTCTTTAAAAAACAGCACTTTATAACACAGTATTATGTGCAAAATCCCCTGACCCTAACCCTAATCATTTATCACATGTACTGCTAGACCGTGATAATATCGTATCATTAGCCATGTATCGTGCATTGTATTGAATTGAATCTTGATGAACCTTGTGATTCCCAGCTCTACTCCCCCTCAGTGTGGTTAAATTGGATGCGCATTTTGTATACATTTGCAATCTTGTTCATTAGTAGTTTTGTCCGTGGCTTCCGCATGTGAATCAAACAACCATAGCAAAGCCCCATCTGCAATTATCATTATATGGGGCTGTGCAATCCATCCAGTTTTAATTGGGATCGAGATTCAGTCATTTCTGATTGTCAATTATACGCTTGGGTCTTTTTAATCAAGAGGCCTGCAGAGATTGGGAGGATGGATTTGAGAATTTTTTTTGTTCAAAGAAAATTATTAAAGGTCTGTATTGTTTATGTTAAGAAAAATATAACATAGCTTTTATTTATATGAATGGAATGAAATAAACTGGAAATCGAGGTTGATCAATATGAGCAATATGCCATAACACTCTGTTATGATACTAAAACTCTATTTCCATAAACAATACTCAATACTCAATCCAGATCACAGTCTCATATCTGAGTAATCCCTCAATGGTCCAGGTAGGTTCCATAGTGGTCCATCAGTCTAGTCTATGTGCTCTTATACTTGTTTGAATACAGCTCAAGATCATTCTAAAGCTTTTCAGGAAAGGTTCATTTCTGTCCTGTGAATGTGACAATTTTTTTGTATCGATATCTGCTCAAATTAGTATCTAGTCTCAGTATTAGTTTTAGTATCGATTACTATCTGATTTTCGATACTTTTGACAACCTTAATCATGATACCACATTTTGATCAGTGAGCCTAGATCAAGGGTGGGCAGTTATTTTTTCCATGGGGCCACATGAGAAACAGAAAATATTGTAGAGGGTCAGGCCAAACTGCTTAACTCAATTCTGCACAATATTAATTGTATTTCTTTATGAAAACAGTAAATATAATTGTTTTGACAAGCTGGTAAGACTGGTAAGAGTTTATGTTATGAATTAGGTTGCCTTACAAAAAATGGCATTAAAAAACACCTCTAAAATAAAAACAATGCAACTTTAGTCCATGCATGAGGTAAAATTATAAAATGTTTATTCTGTAATTCCAAATTATGTTAGACGGGCTGGTCAGAGACAACCAAAGGGTCGTATGTGACCTGTACAATGCCCAGGTCTGGCCTAGCTCATCACCTACACAAACTGAAACGTATATTAACAAATCGAAACTCAAACATGTCCAAAAATAGCTAGTCATCATTCAGGAGGCCTCACCGTAGCTCGTGTTACACCTTTTTTTATTACTTCTGTCCCTCCTTCAGCCTGTTCTTCACTCGTGTCTAAAGAAAACACAGTCCAATGTATGTAGTCCAACAGGAAATACTCCCACATCTGGACTTGCTTCAGAACATCAACATGAAGAAGTGGGCTTTATGGGGAGTTAAACGCGTTGTGCCCCTTTTGTTGCCCCGGGACACTTCTCGCACCCCCCTTAGCCCCTATACCCTCCCCTCTCCCTCCTCCAATCCCAGCCTGATGCCGCTCTTCCTGTGTCTGTGTGCTGTCTGAGTAAATAACCAGAGAAGCTATGTTGTTTACGCTCATTAGTCATACTCAGAAGGCTCTTATCACTGCTTCACTTTTGCTGCATAGAAATGAACTAATTTGGTCTTGTATTGCTTTTTATGTTCACCTCAAGTTTTGACACATGACGCTGACATATTAAGTTACATCCATCTCCACTGGTTCTCAAATTGTGGTTTGGGTACCACTGAGATGCAGGGTTGTTGTGAAGGTACTGTGATTTGATATGACTTGCCTGGACATATAGTCTTGCTTTCGAACAACATGTAATACTTTGAATCTGTATTCTGTACTGGCCATGGTTATGTGCTGTTTTAGTATTTTTTTAATTTAGCCTATTTCCTTAGCTAAAGATGTACTATGTAACTTTCCAGGTGGAGGGTCACCATGGAGATGTTGCTTTGCTTGGAATTTTTCACAATATAGTATTAAACTCATCTATTCCCAAGCCCCAAGCCAATTTACTGGTCTGGTTTGTGGAGAGGCAGGTTGCTTACAGTAGACTGCATGTTTTTCAAGGTGTCTTTTTATTGTTTAAAAAAAAAAAGTTACATAGTGTGCCTTTAAGATGTAACACTTGGTCGAAATCAATTCAAGTCCTCCTGATATTTGTAGTTATGTATTTGTATATTATTATATTATTTGTTTTTGTCCTTTTTCAGTATCACTCCTAGTCATAATGATGCTCTGCAGGTTTGCTTTGGTCCTGGATTAGCCCTGGAGTGCTGCGCTAAAGTATAATATGTTACTGCTTACATGTTGCAGTCTAGTCCTGTCTTGCTCTAATTTGCAAGTACTCTTTAAATCCTCTGAGTTGGCACATTAAAGTGGTTCTTCTCCTAGTTAAGAATCACCACTCTACACATGTCCACCCTCATGTCTCTCTCAGCCTCTCTGTGTTTTTACTCATTAAGATAATATTATTCTCCTCTTTGTTATCAGTGAGTCCCCTCTGCCCTCCGCTGCATGTATGACGGTTATTAAAAAGTCTATTATGGTTTGGATATAAGTTGTTTATTTGTTCAGATCCAGACTGTGTACTCTTCTTCTCAGAATAAAGAACTATGCAGGCATGTTCACACATCTATTTGTTTGCAATGAGACAACACACGATAAGTTAAGATTGTAAGCTAGACCGATATATTATTGGGCCAATATTTTGACTTTTTAGCATATTGGCGATCATCCTTAAATCTCCAGCGTAGACCAATATTTTGTTCTGGTCAATCTGCTGCCTAAAAATACACACAAAGCTTCATATTAACACTTTAATATCATTATACTGCTGCACAAAACATGACCACACTGCTCCTTTATAGGCTTGTGGTTAAAAAAAAAGCTCTGGGTGAATTTGTAGTAAATAATCTGTGGAAATTAACCTAAAAAGCCAAAACTGATTAATAAATGGGTAACTTTCCCAAAACAAATCATAAAAAGATTCTATAGATGAAATTTCACTGTTGTCTCTCCTCTTGTCTGTTTTCTCAGGCCGAGTGACCAAAGACCAGCTATGCTCTTATGTGAAGCCGTTCGGGGGCAGTCGGGGGGCTCTAGAGAGTCACTGTGGGGTGCTGCAGCTGGGACTGGCCACAGCCCAAACCCTTGGACACCCCAGCCTGCCAAGATGGGACTCCTGCCTGGCCTTTGAGAGACTCCTGCTGCAGGTCAGAGCTCCTCCTATACACAAACTTATCCACATATGGGACAAGCGGTGAAAGGGTAAAGAGAGGTTAAAGCGCGGGATATACGGGTTTCAGATTGAGTTACAATCATAGACTGTATAAAGAAGTGGACTGAGTGTGAGTGTGACGTCACCCATAGCATTTGGTTCCAGTCAAATGAAGCTCACAAGACTAGAAGTTATAGGTTCCATATTAGGGATAGGATTTTTTTTTTTATGAACAAACTAGCAAAATAAAACATCACAACCATTTTATGATCAAAATGACAAGGCTCACTGTAGCAGTTACAAAGAGAAGGGTGACAATTTTTCAACGTAAAGTCAATTGGAGCCAGAGTTTGATGGAGTTGGAGGCGCCCCCTTGCTCACTTCCTATTTTATACAGTGTATGAGTACAAAGTCAAAGATTGATTTTTACATTAACATTTGAGCTAAACTATATTGAAAATGTATGTTTCAACATACTCTCTAACCACCAGCCATAGAAATTAATTAACATCCCAAACACATCTGAACTTGACCCTTTAATTTGACTCCAATAAGTGTTTAAAATTGGAATCTGGAATATGCAATTACTGTGTTGAATATTACTACAATTATATGCTAATGCAGTATTCAAACATACCCTCTGCGCTGTAGTGAATTGTTAAAATCTGCAGCTTGCCAAAATAAACACTAGCTGTAATTATTATAATTCAAGACTTGCATTGGAACAGTCTCACAAACTCACAGTAATAGTCCAGTACTTTATAGTCTCACAAATGAAAAACTGTGGGTCCTAATGCAGAACTTTTTCATCTTGGTTTTTATTTCAACAGATATTTAAAGCAATGGTCAATCCTTAATCCAGCAGTGGCAGGATTTTCTTTATCACATGCTAAAAACTGTTCAAATTAGTAAACTTTATTGGTGGGAATGCTGCATTGGTTTTCCTATTACGGGTCACATAAATCTGCAAAAGACAGCACTATTTATTGGCTACACCTCCCATTGACTTCTGCTGCCAAGAACGCAATGAAAAACTCTACCCTTCTGTAATAATGTCTGCAACTTTTGGACATCAGAGGCATAAATTTCAAGCAGCTTTGTCCAATACATTGTAAAGTGTATCTCACTAGCTTTTACTCTTATTTACAGTGACTCAAACACAGAGTCTAGAGGGGGTATTTACATTGGCAGTTGTTGCTTACATTTTAAAAAGCCACAGTATATAAACTATAGGAACAGCATTAACAGCTCTGACAGACTTTTGGAACTAATCAGTTTGTGGTAGTGGATTCCTAAACGTTTTTACACTTTGACTTTATTTAGTGAGAAAGCTACATATTGAGCTAATTTGTGATTAAACGCGTAATTATTCTTTCACATCTTTGCCTTGGGTAAACATTTTATGAGCGGCGCGCAGCAGGTAAATGGGTACTTGTGGTCTGCTGTGTTGCCAGTGGGCCAAAATGTTGTGTTAAACTGACAGAGACAGGGAAAAAACGCAGATTCCACTCCTTCATAAACAAGGTCAGTTGTGTTTGAAAGAAAAACATTTAGATCCCGTAAACAGGAGAGAAAAAAAATGTCAAATTTTCTTCATGTTGTTTAGAGGTTTTGAGTTTTGGCTGAGCACTAGTTTACGGGGGTGGATAGAGGCGGATGTGCACGTGTGCCGCTCTGTGGCAGGGTCTCAAGTACACATAATCCAAGGTCTGCTTTGGAATACATTTACAGTTGTAATTAAGATGTTGCCTAGTTTCTAACTTGTCTTGCTTAGAAATGCCAGACAAATTTAAATCACACTATTCCAGTGGATATATAGTTTGTCATACTAATTTAACTATGGCGCTTAATGCATTTTATTGTACAACTTGGTGTCAAACAAACAAAAACATTAGAGATGGATACATGATTATAGAATATTTATACTGTATTTGATACACTCATAAAACTGAGTGACAAACAACCACAAGTACATAACTTAAAGATTGAAAGCAAATCCTAAACTATTTGAAGACTTTGCAAATTTCCATTATGAATATTGTTGAAGCAGCAATATGACAACAGTAGATCTTATTAGAGAAAATGTCAAAAAAAAAACAAAAAAAAAACAGGTCTGTCCTGTGCCAAATGTGAATTTAAAAACAAGCTCATAAACCTGTTTCTGGGACAGACGCTGCTCACTTCAATAAAAACATCACTCCAGGGCTATTGTCTGTTTACTTCAAGACTCCACTTTAATCCCCTCCTCCCTCTGTGTTGTCTGCTCGTACTTTTAATATGAGTGCTACAGGTCTGATTGGAACGGCATGGATTGGTTTCCACTGCCATGTGGGCCAAAAAGAGTTAGGTATATGGACCGTTACATTATGAAGTCGTGACAGCGAAGGTTATTCAGAAAACTTACCAAAGAACAAGGAAGAGCTTATCTAAAGTTTTGACATGGCCTATGACAAAATCAGCTTAACCAACCCACATAATAAGTAGTAACATTAGTTTGGTCAATACACTGTGCAAAGTTCTCTTGCACTGTACCACAAGCTGTTTCCTAATACAAGGCTACAGTGGGATGGGAGCTCACTAACTTGAAAAACCTTTTACGTACTAAAGAAATAGTTTGATTCTCTCTACCAGCTATGCTAAATGTTTCTTTGTCCTTGGGCAAGACACTTAACTTTCCTTAGCTGTATGACTGTCAGAGTGACTAAGTGAGCCAATGTTATAGTGTAATTGGTGGTTGGAGGCGAAGAAAAGTTGGCACGATTGTCAATTGAAACTTATGAATTAAATAAAATAAATGTACGTGATATTTTATAATGTATTCATACTTAAAAACTATCCCTATATGTGCCTTTAACTATATATAATTGAAAACAGCATGGCAACTGTTCAGGAAGGTCTATTTGTCTCATGAGGAGTAGTGTCCTCAGGTGTTTTCATCAGTATCCATCTTAATATATTGCAGTTATTTTGACCACCAGTGCTGCATAGTAATTGGCTTAAATCAGACATTCTTCATAAATCACATTCCAGGGCCTTAAGTGCAGCGTACGAGTTTGTATTTGCAATCGACTTTTATGGGGGTATTAGGGGAAATGAGTAGTGTGTCCTCTGTGCCCTCTCTGTTTATTTAATTTCATATGAGTTTTTCAGTTTGGCTCGATGTGGACAAAGTTAATGACATTAGTAGAAGATGGTGGTGGCTGGAGATGGCTCTGGTGGGGGAGTGGTCAGACTGTTTGTGCAGCCTGAGTATGTGAGGGCCGCTGTGGTCCGGGTCTAGACCTGGAGCCTGGTCCACACTGGGGCTTCTTTCAGACCTGAGTCCAGCCCTGACCAGCTCTGGGTGTGGGCACTGGGGCAATTAAGTTCAAGGCTCACTCTCGTCTGGGTTTGATGATGATGAGAGGTGCTCTTTACATTCGGTGGAAATATGCAAGACGAAGCAGTTTGTGCTATTAGGCATACTCTGTTGACATTTGGTTTACACTAATATTTTCTACTTATTTGTTATTGCAACAGGTTGATGAGAGCGATGTATAGAGGAACACATCAAATATTGAATAGCTTTAAGAACAAATCAAAACTTTACCAAGACATCTTGATTTTTTCCCATAAGTTGTCTACTCTATTTAGGTATTAAATGGCAAATTCTGACATATTGACTAAGAATTACATTAAAGGCATGATCATATCTTGTCAGCATTAATGTACTATTTAAAACCATTGAGTAATTTTGCACCAAACATCTGATTAAAATTAAAGTAAGAAAACATGTGCCCTTAGTAAGAGAGCTTCCCAACTCCACAGAACTGATGCTTATTTGTCATGGAAGAAGGCCTCCTTCTGTTTATTTCCCTGGAAATGTTATTCCTTTGACTATAAGCTTCCATAGTTTGGCATATCTCTATCTCTTAACTATGGAATCATTTCATCGTTCATTTCAATCACTGACTAAATGTAAATTATCGTTACATGCCAAAAAAAATTCTCAACATTTAAATCTAAATGTTATAGCAATTCACTTTAATCTATTTCTCTCTCATGTCTAGTCTAACCATTGACTTGCTCCAGACCCCTCTTTGGCAGACATTGCCACCCGGCCTGCGCCTATCCTGGACCTCCTGCTGGGTGTTCTGGTGTCTGGGGCTTTGGGTTTGGCTCTGAATGGGTCAGATTGAGGAGGGTTTGGGTGAGCTCCAGAGAAAGTGTCACTCGATGCATTCACATTTTCTAGAAGGAGGAGAAATTCAACAGTCACCCTTTCACCGCTTCCCGAACATAACATGGCCTTTATACAACCCTCTCTAAGCCAGTACTGCACCTAGACCCAGTCATAAAAGTAACTAGATACATAAGCCTACTCAATAAATTCTATCTACAAACAAACCCTGAAACCTGAGTTTGAGGTTTCAGTAGAAATTGACTGTAACTGTTTGCACTAATAGTAGTAGTAATGAATGTATTTCTGATATGAATTTGTTATAGTGGTGAGTAGAAATACACTGATCCAACTTAGGGCCGTGCTGGTGTGAGGAATGAAAATGGCATGTTTTTTGCAGTTGAGTTATTTTACTTGTTTGTCTTGCAGCTAACTACTGAACATGAATTAAAGTTCAAACATTATGAGATGTCCAGGGCAACCAGTAGTGAATAGTCTCATTACGTCCAGTTATAGGCCCAACCAGGATATCAGCTGAACCGATACCTGGGCACCAATACCTTATCCAGCTAATTTTCCTGGACTGATATTTGATACTAGTTTCAGTATGCATCCCTTGTTGTGAGTCTACTATATTTTGAATTAGATATTATATTATGTATTTTTATTAGATGTTTTACAAAACTTACTGTTTAGTTGACTTACAGTTGAATACATTTACTCACTCTTAAAAGTACATGCTTGATTCCATGGAAATGGAAAGTAAACTATACTTCATGGAGATGGGTAAGTGTTACATTTCCATGGAAACAGCAGGTGGAGGTCCTCCTCTAGGC